TATATATATATATATATATATTCATTTGTTAATATGTTTTGAGTGAACTTATCGGATGCCAACTAAGAGAGAGGACATCTACTTGGATATTTAAAATTTGGCTTAGTACTCCATGAAGTATTATCTTTTCAATCAAAGCTCCCAACCTTCTTTTCTTAGTACTTAATCCTTCTCAATAAGATATGTCCTTCTTTTTCACTGAGTATGAAGTTTTAATGCAATCTCTTCAGCCAAATTTTTGATAAGAACTGAAAATTCATCATAACTTTCTCGATAACCTTAGTATTCTCCTTCTCTATAGCATCATCTATTTCTATTTTTTTCTTTTATTATTCTTTAAAAGCTTTACACTTTAACCTCATCATTTTCAACATATTTGTCTTGATAATGGCATATTCTCATAGTACTTTAAATTGTTTATATTCTAGTTACATACATTAGAGAGCCTATAAATTAGTTCTCTTGGGCACTCTTTCTACGAGAATTTTAATTGCATTTCAAGTTCAAATTTCTTTGGCTCTTTCATATAGCTAGTGGCCATCTTTTTGAATGCTTTAACTTGAGATTTCAACTCAAGTGCCTCAATAATAATGACATATTGAGTCATTTAAAAAAAAAAGGCAAATGCTTTACTCCAAGCAAAGAGAAAATGAGTAAAAATAAAAAGCCAAGGAAACAACCTACCAAAACAGCTTTAGAAAGAGTAAAACAAAATCAAAGAACTCTAATATTAGGAAAATTAATTTTATCACCTTAAAAAATAAAGCAAAATTAGCCCCAGAAATCTTATCCATCACCACCACTTGAGAAAAAACTCCTATCTTTTCCAGCCAATATGTAATTTGGTTGCCCATTCTAAGTATATGGTTCTGTTGGACATCTATACACTTAGTAAGCACCTTAATCCTTTTCAAAATAATATGCAAATACCAATGGCCACTATCAATATCATAGTACATTTTAAATAATATCAATAAATCTATCTCCACGATTAATCATAGTGCATTAGAGCCAAATTACAACTATCAATAAATCTTAAATCACTTTTAAAATATATAACATTTAAAACAACTCTATGAAGGGGGACAACCATTAGGCCTTTTTTTCTTTATCTTAGTGGTAGAGGGTAGATAGGAGGAATAGGGAAGGGAGATAAGAGGGCTAAGATTGAGGGAGAGATAGTCATGGATATTGTGGAGTTAGAGGTTGTCTAAGGGAGGGAGGGTTCTCCTAATCCCTTAAGGGGGTGAATTTGGTCAAAGAGTATTCAATAACCGTTATATGATATCATACAATTCAATGTGACAAGTATAATATTTAATATCAATACATCTAAAAAAACCTATATCTGCTACCTAAGTTTTGCTTGAGTTTATGTTTGAAATTGAGTTTTACCTTATAATGGTGAAATCTACATTACTCAAAACCTAATCCTAAGCTAAAGTTAAAATATACATAAATATATTCCAAATATAAATCATCAATAAAACTAATTAAATCCAAAATTGAATGACTCGCACACTAATCCTAGTTCATGTTTGCGCCAAAACCAACTCTAATCTACCCAAACCTACTTTTATATAAAAGTAATAATCAATGCTTATGTATATAAATAACAAAATTCTAATACATACCACTCAATAATTATGTATAAATATACACATAGCTAACACCTAATTTTATGCGTATACATTCCTAACACCTAAACCTAAAATGTTACACCCATACCACAGAAATCTTATGCATATACATTCCTAAAACCTAAGCTTCAAATGTTACATACATACCAAAATTTTTTTAAAAATTAAAAATGGGGTGAAGTTGCCTTTCCGATCATCTCACAAGGGGCGACGGGCTAGGGTTGCGAAGGGTTTCTAGTGGCGAGGGGAAGGTACGGTGACCGGTGAGGGGAGGTGTGACAACTGGCGATGGCAATAAGGAAGAGATAAGTTGCTAGGGTTTCGGTGTCGTGGGAGGAGAGGAAACGGGGGCGTCTTTCGCGAAGAAGA